GCATTTATATTTTACAAGATGGGTTACATTATGTGATTGCCTCAAATTATATGGCCCAGGACTGATAAATCTTTTGCAAGCGCTCTTCTTCACAAACTTATTCTCGAAAAGGGCCAGAAGGGTGCTCTGCTGTATACCATTACTCTAGGACCCAGAAGGACACAAGCTCCACCATGTTGTGTTGCATCATTGGGAGAATGTGGCCCCTGCAGGTGCTGCAAAGGATGATGGGACTGGAAAATGTGTAATTTATTGTATTTTAATTTTTCCTCAGTAACATTGTTCTTAAAAAAATCTTCCTTTAACAAATCAAAAATAAAAGAAAGTGAAATCATTCTTTTTATGCTACCAAAAAAGACATATAAATTAGTACTTTTATTCCTTCAGGGATAATTCAAGAATTTTTCAATACTTTCATTGCTTTCTTCCTGACTTGTATGGTTTTATTATCATATATTTCACATCAATGTATATATATATATTTTTTGTGGTATGATTCTTTTAATTCTTTTTTTTCCCATTAAGTTTATTGGTACATTTTTGGTATAAAATACAGTTACATTCATCATTGAGATCTTGTAGCTTTACATGATGTATCTTGGTTCTTTTTTTTTCCTCTTCCCTTGCCCTCCCTTCACCCCCTCCACCCTTCCCTATTTGCAAAGACTTTGTTTCCATTTTTTTCTTTCCTCATATTTTTTTCTTTTCCCTTTTTTCCTTTCCCCTACCCCTCCCACTTCCCCTGCACATTTAGACCTTTTCTTCCTGTTTCACAATATCAATTATACATTTTTTAAAATTACAATATCAAGATCTAGGAGACATTACCACAGATTTTACAGAACTTAAAAGGATATAGAAAGCATATTTCAAAAATCTGTTTTGAAATAAATTTGACAACTTCTAAGAAGTAACTTGGAAGACAAATTAATGAAGCTAACTCTGGAGGAAATATAAAATTTGAATAGCACCTATTAAAGAAAGTATATTCCTAGCTTGAAAACCTACCTATATGACAACAGGCTCATATACATTTTAACTAATAAATTATATCAAACATTTAAAGCAGAAAAAAGAAGGAACACTTCTCCCCTCATTTTAGGAACTCAACATTGTGCTAATACTAAAACTGACTGGATAAAGATAATAGAAGAAAAAAGTATGAACACAGATAGAAATTTGTTTAACAAAACAAACTATTGGAAGTCAGATCTGGCAGGATGTAGAAAGTGGTTTTATTATAGGGATGGCAGTGTTGGTTCAGCATTGGAAGATCCACCCCCAAAAGTCATCATTTTAATAGAGGAAAGGAAAAAGCCATATGATCCTGTCAGTAGTGGCAGAAAAAGTATTGGACTAAATTCTACAGCTGTTCATGGTAAAAGCTATCAGGAGACTAGAAGTAGAACAGAACCCACTCAAGATTAAAGACATGTACTCCATACTTTCAGCGAGAATGCCTTATATGAAAGGAGAAGATACAATTATTTCTCCTTAAGGTGGGGAACATGTATATTTTCACTTTGTAAAATATTATTGTAATTTCATACAACCCAAAGACATCTATATGTATGCCCATATTTTACTTTATCTTACCACATATATTCATTCCCTTTGTAGTTTTGTGTAAAAATATTGAGTGCAAGTGCACCATCTTAAAACAAATTTTGTTTTTTCACACTATTTTTGTGAGTGAAAAATGTGGAAGTGGCTCAAGTTGGTTGAGAATGATTGGATCTGGCTCAAGATTTCTCTTTGGATTATAGTCATGATATCTACCAGAGTTACAGCCTTCAAAAGGCTTTATTGATGGCTTGCAAGATGAACCACTCATTGGTTGGAAAGTTAATTTTGCTGGCTATGGGCAAAGAACCTCTGCTTTCTACTCTGTGAACCTATTCACTGGATGGTGTGTGTGTCCTCACTAGGTAGCATATGACTTCCCCTGGAGCAAATCATACTAAACACAGTAACCAGTAGCCACAGATTCCTGTACACCAATAATTAACCCACTGAAAAAGAAACTAGGAAAGATTAATTACTTAGGAATTAACCTAATCAAGGAAGCAAAAGACCTGCATAATGAAAACTATAGTATTCTGAAAAAAGTGATCACAAAGAACATCAGAAAATAAAAAGATACTTCCTGTTCCTGGATAGTCAAAACCAATATTGTCAAAATTGCTGTACTACCAAAACAAACATATAGATTTAATGTAATATGGATCAAAATACAAATAGTAGTCCTCACAAAACTAGGAAAAACTATCCTAAAATTTATATAGAACCAGGAGAGACCCAGAATGGCAATTGCAATCTTGAGCAACAAAAGCAAAGCAGGAAGAGTCACAATCCTGGACTTCAAGATACATGGCAAAGCTATAGTGATAAAAATAGCATGGTACTGGCACAAAAACAGACATGTGGATCAGTGGAACAAAATAAAAGATGCAGGAATAACCCTGGGCACATCCATCCATTTGATCTTTGACAAAGGGGTCAAAAACATTTGTTGGTGGAAAGACAGCCTCTTTAACAAATGGCATTGGGAAAACTGGTTACACACATGAGAAGTCTAAATCTAAATCCATATTTCTCACTTTAAAATAAAATAAAAATGGATTAAAAGTGTTTAAAACAGAAACAGTCTGCTAGAAGACAATATAGGTAAGAGACAGGCATAGATAAAGACTTTCTGAACAGAACCTCAGGTGTATAAGAACTAACATTAAGAAACAACAAATGAAATTATATAAAATTAAAACGTTTCTGTACAGCTAACTAAGAATGAAAAGACAACCTACAGAATGGGAAAAAAATCTTTGCCACGCACTCCTCAACTAGAAGATTAATATTGAAAATATATAAAAAACTTAAAAAAATAGATCCCCTAAATGAAAGACCCAATCAAAAGTGGGCAATTGAAATGAACTGACACTTCTCAGCAGAACAAATGGCCAATAAATATATGAAGAAATGTTCAATATAACTGGCATTGAGAAAAGTGCAATTTAAAACAGAACTGAGATTTCATTTTAAGAAAAAATGGCTATCATCAAGATATCTAATAATAATAGTAATAATAATAATAATTGAATGATGAGGCTGTGGGGAAAAAGAAACAATTCTACTTTGTTGGTGGAGATGTAAACTAGTACAACCACTATGGAAATCTGTATGGAGAGTCCTCAGAAAATTAAAAATAGAAATTCTGTTTGACCTTACTCTTCCTATTCTAGTTATCTTCCCCAAAGAGTTAAAGACATCATAGTACAGTGATACATGCCATACCCATGTTTATAGTAGCACAACTCATAAGTGCTAAATCTTGGAAGCAGCTTATATGTCCATCAACAGATGTATGGATAAAAAATGTGGCGTTTATATACAATTGAGTACTATTGAGCCATAAAAAGGATGAACTTGAGTCATTTGTAGGAAAATGAATGCACCTTGAGACCGCTATGGTAGATGAAATAAATCAGACACACAATCCTAAATATCATGTGGTTTCTCTTATATGTAAAATTCAAAATATAAATAAAGAACAAAATAAGATAGATAATACAAAATAAGGAGATCAATCCTCTGCAAATAGGAAGAGAAACTAGAGATTGAAAGAACTGGAGGGGAAAGAGGACAAGAGGAAGTGAAAAATAATTCAGATGTGTTAGGTACATCTACCAGCTCCCCACAGTGCACATAGCTAAATACAGCAAGCACATACTAATAAACATAAAAAGTAAAAGTACAACCTTAGAAGTAAAAAAACCCAACAAAGTCTTTAATGTTGTAGCCTCTCGATTCACACACTGTTATTTTCTCACTGCTGGATTGATGACACCCATGGATAGGACAGTGTTAATCCTACCTAGGCGGAGGGGACACCAGGAAGCAGGAAACAATGGTAGCCTTCTCAGTGGGTGGCTGTGACTATGTCTAAGCTACCATCTGGATTCTCTTATCTAAAATATCCCCTTCAGCGTTCGTTTTAGCATGATTCTACAGGTGATAGTCTTTAAACTTTGCTGTTTTCATACATTTTACTTTTATATATTATAAACTCCATAATATGTTGTCATAATTTTTGATGACCTAGTCGGCCAACTAGTAAAATATTTAAGTAATAAAAATTATAATTTTTTCTTTGGTTATCATTCTTGGTGTTTTTCAAATCTTTATCTGCTGTCATTTTTCTTCCTTCTGGAGAACTTATGATCATTTCTTGTTGTGTGAAAGTATTGATGATGCTTACTTTCAGCTGTTGTATGTCTAAAAGGTATTCCATATTACTTTTTGAAGTCTTATTTTTCTGAGTATAAAAATTTAGATTGAGAGTTATTTTATATTATTTTCAAGATGTTTCTCTTTTTTTCCCTTCAAGTGTCATCCTATCCATTCTTTCTCTCCTTCCTTCTTTCTCCCCTCTCTTTCTCTCCCTCCCTCTTTCTTTCTTTCTTTCTTGCTCTCTCTTTCTTCCTTCCTTCCTTCTTTCTTTCTTCTCTTTCTTTCTTTCTTTCTTTCTTTCTTTCTTTCTTTCTTTCTTTCTTTCCCTCTTTCCCTCTTTCTCTCTTTCTTTCTTTCCTCTTTCTCTCCCCCATCCCTCTTTCTCTCTCTCTAAGTCTTTTTCTTTTTTTCTTTTTGTTTTATTATTTCACCAGGATTATTAATCTGAGGAAACTAGACCATCTTTTTTTGGATACTGCATCCATTTCAAATTATTTTGATTTAGCATAGACATACTTCTTTACTACATCCACCAGCTTTTAATACTAGAGTTTCTAAGTTGATCTTAAAGCTACTAAGTTAACTGTACTGTATGGTCTAGTCACACAACTATACTTTATGTGATTGTACTTTTTGCATACTGATATATATCAGATACTTTTACAGTGCACTGTCTATGCAGTTTGTTCTTTGATTTGCATAGGCCCCTGCAGCCCCAGCCCACCTGCCCAGATTTTATAAATGAAGCCTTTGCAGTGAGAACTGAACCGCACCAGGCAGCAGGGTCGGCAAGATGGTATCTCAGGATCAGATCCTCATATCCCTATTGCTGTGGGTCTCTGGTGAGAAATTAAATACTGAAATCTCTTCAAAGTAATATCAGTATAGTTGAAAAAATATTTTAAAGATATTATAGGATAAAAACTATTCCCAATACGGATCTAATTATGTACTGACATAGTAACATTTGAAAATGAATTTTATGTGAGAGATTACAATGTGTGTATGATGTGTATGTGTGTGTATGTATGATCCTTCTCTATTTGTGGTTGCAGGGGCCTATGGAGCTATCACAGTGACCCAGTCTCCACGCTCTCTGACTGGGTCTGTAGGAGAGACTGTTGCCATCAACTGCAAGTCCAGTCAGAGTCTTTTGTGGAGCAGCAACAATAAGAACTACTTAGCCTGGTACCAGAAAAAACCAGAACAGGCTCCCAGGCTGCTCATCTCCTGGGCATCCACTCGGGAATCTCAGATCCCTGACCGGTTTATTGGCAGTGGGTCTGGGTCAGATTTCACTCTCACCATAAACAACCTCCAAGCGGAAGATGTGGGAGATTATTACTGTCAGCAATATTATGAGAACCCTTGCACAGTGCTTCAACCTCACACAAAAACCTCCCCAGGCCATGGGTCAGTGAACCTTGGGGCACCACCTGCTTCCTCCTCATACATTCTTGAACTTGCAGCTTCTGCTCTGCCTGAGAGATCATGTTCCTCATTTATTCCACTAGAGGGTCTGCAGGATGGGCCAAGAGAAAATTATGTAACACGGATGTTTCTGGATCCAATGCTTTGGTTGGAGATTTTTAAAAATGCTATAAATATCTTTAAAAGTGATTGTTAGTTTTTTATATTATAGGAATGTGCATTTATTCACATGGATGAATTGTATTATGGGACCAATATAATTTGTCTTTTCCCTTTAGAGAATGTTCTAGTGATTTTCCACTATGATGGATAAATTCTTACCTTTTGCCTCCTTGAAATGAAGATTTCTATTTTTTAAATTCTCTGGTCCTCCCCCTCCTCTTCATTCTTGTCCACTTTGTCTTCATCCTCTTCCTTCTTCTTCCTCTTCTCTTTTTTGTCTTCCTCCTTCTCCTTGTTTTTACTTTTACCTGGAGTCACTTTACACTTCTACCCTCGTCAATGCTACCCATTGTCACTTGATTCAAAACAGATCATTATCTCTCTTCCTACTTCTATAGACCCTGTTTTTAAATTGAGCCCTTCTGATCAATTTTAGTAAAAATGCTTTTCTTTGTCTACCTCTTCTTATTCTTCCTTTACTCCTCCCTTCATTTCTTTTAGTCATACTCACTATTTCAAAGACAATTCTCTAATTTTTAGCTCTACCATGCCAGGAACATGTCACAGCATTTCCCATTACATTTTTCTTCATTTGTCAGCTCTCTCTTCAAATTTGTCCTTGGGTAGCTAAGTGTAATTTTGTGATAGAAGGAATTTGCCATCCTTATGTCCTCTATAATTTGAGTTCTTTAGATAACATTTAATTAACATGACTATCTCTATATCAAAGGGAAAGCTCCAGTCATCCTAACATTTTTTCTTCATGTCCATCTGAAATACTTGAGTTAATGAAATTTAGTTCCTGAAACATTCTCAGCAAACCAGAGCAGTGCATTATGAATTCTGTTACTTACTTAACAGCTTCTCATAAGATTGAAAAATATTTTGAAAATGATATTAAGAAATCCATGTCTTCCATGTATTCACGCTATATATTAAGTGCTTTATATGTGTCAAGTGCAAAAGTATCCACTTTCATTCTACTTGGGGGAGACAAGTAATAAACAGATAATATTGAACTAATAAATGAATGATCACTGTGGTACAAAATCAACATAGAAGAAAATCAGTTGCATTTCTTTAAACAAATGACAACACATCATGAAAATAAATTGATAAAATAATTCTAATTATAATAGCATGAAAAACTTAAATATTTAGGAAAAATTTAACCAAGGAGGTGAAAGATACGTATGCTATAAAGTAAAATTCATATGTTCATGGATTGGCAAAATTTAAAAAAAGTAAGATATCCCATGTTCATGGATTAACAAAATTAACTTTGTTAAATATCTATACTACCCAAAGCAATATACATATTTAATGCAGTCTTTAACAAAACTCCAATGAAATTCTTCATAGAAATAAAAGAAAATCATTGTAAAATTCTTATGTAACAATAGAAAACTTCAAAGAGCCAATGCAATAATGCCAAAGAAAAACAAACTTAGAAGCATTCAATTTCCCAATTTTAAATTATATTACAATGCTATTGTACTCAAAGCAACATGATAATGTCATACAAACACACATGTTGATCAATGCAATAAAGTAGAGAGCCTAGAAATGAACTCACACTATTATGACTAATTTTTGACATTATGAAGTTACAACATGAAAATGTTCATCTGTTTAATAAATGGTGTTGGGAAAAGTGAATTTCTATGTGTAAAAGAATGAAATTGGGCCTTTATCTTTCACCATCCTCAAAATGGATAAATGACATAAATCATAAAAAATTTTAGAAAAAACAGAAGAGAAAAATATCCTTGATATTGGTGTTGACAATGATGTTTTGAAGTTCAGGCCATGAAAACAAAAATAATTAAATGAGACTATATCAAATGAAAAACTTTATGCACAGCAAAGAAAACAACACAGTCAAAGACAATCTATAGATTGGGAGAAAATATTTGTAAACCATATACCTAATAAGTGATTAATGTGGAAAATACACCAAGAACTCACATAACTTAAAAGAAAAAAGCAAATAACTTAAAATGGGCAAAGGTCATGAATAAATATTTTTCCAAAGAAGTTATACAAATGGCAAATTTGTATATAGAAGTGTATTCAACCCTATTAATCATGAGGGAAATGCAAATAAAAGCCACTGAATCACCAACTTACATCTGCTAGGACAAATACCATCAAAAGTGAATAGATAAAAAGTGTTAGCAAAGATGTGAAGAAAAGTGAACCTCTGTACATTTTTAGTGGAAATATACATTGGTGCAGTCATCATGAACATTAACATAGATATCTCTAAGGAAATTAAAAATGGAATTATCATATGAGCTAGCAAACCCTCTGCTGAGTATGGAATCAAAGGAAACAAAATCACCAAATTGTTAAGATAGTTACACTCCCATAATCACTGCAAAATTATTCACAGTAGACATGATGTAGAAAGACCAGAATGTTTAACAATAGATGACTGCTAAAGAAATTGGATCTTTCTACAGGGCAAAGCTGGAAAAATAATAATTAGGAGGCCATGCTAACATCCAGGATATGCAGTTGTAACTGCTTTGATTTATGGAAGTTAAAGTAGGGGAGTGATTTATTTCAGAGATAAAGTTTGACAATAGGATAATAGTTTTGCTAAGAGGTGTAAGAAAAACAGAAGTGTCAAGACAACTTTCTGAGATTTTCTTAGAGCAATACACTCTCCTTACATTCTTATTTCAGTATATTTTATAATTCATACATACTTTTTAGTCCTTTTTATTATTTTATAATTTTACTTAGAAAAATGTTTTGCACTTATTAGTAAAGAAAGATGGAACTAAATCTAACATCATATTTATTCTTTCTATATGCCCAACTGTTTTATAGCTCACTTTTCTACTTTCTTGCTTTTCTCTAGAGTAGTCAAGCTTTTAATTCTAGTTTTTTCTTATGTTAATTTGTCCATTATGCACTCATTTGTAGTTTAGCAGACATTCTCAGTTTAAGAGTTTAAAACTATTACATTGGAGAAACCTAAGTGTAAATAAGGACCAAAATGTGTAATAGATATTGTGAAACAGGAAACAAAAGTGCTCAAATGGGAAGAGAAACAAGGGAGAAGGGAGGGGGAAAGGAAGGAAGAGACAAGAAAAAAGAGAATAGAGGGTAAAATGGAAACAAAGCTTTTGTGAATAAGAAGGGTAAGAGAGGGGTTGAAGGGAGGGGAGGGGAAAGGGAAAAGAAGAAGCTGCAAGATATATCTTGTACAGGTATAAACTTCCTATGATGAATGTTATCATTATGTATAGTTAAATGTACCAATAACATTTAAAAAAATATTAAATTGGGGATGGAGGCATGGATTAGGCATAGAGCATTTGCCCAGCATGCACAAGATCATGGTTTTGATTCCCATCACCACAAAAAATTTAATTTTACCACCTTTATGGAATAGTTAAATCTTGTAATTACATTTACAATGGTTTTTGATTATTTTTTCATGCTCTTCAATTTACGTATGTATCCAAAACTCTACAAGGTATGTTACTCAAAATCTAAATATTGTACATGTTGTTTATGCAGCCAATATTAATTTGCATTTATGAATTTATTTATGCATTCCAGTGTTCATCTGTTAAATATCTTCATATTTCTAAGTTGGTTTACATTATTTCCATCGACAAAACTCTCTAGCATTTTTTCTATAGTAGCGATAACTTCTTTTGTTTTGTTTCATTTTATTACTATTTTAATTAAGATAATTGAGTTTTCTTTTTCTTATATATAAACATTTTTATACAACTTGTAAACTGAACAAAAGTAATAGATTTGGAATTTCAATTTTATTCACATGGTGCTATATTTTCTTTGAATAGGCAGTCATTTCAAATACAGTTTATTTTCTTAAGCAGAAGCAGTATGAATTTGTATTTTAAATTCAAACCTTCATTTACTATATCATAACAATACTATATGTGTTACTGGATCAAAAATATTTCTACAGCTATTGCTAAGGGGGTATGTTTAAAACATACATTTCTATGAATTTATAATAGATATTTATATATAATTAATGAATAGGATTATAATAGGATTGATAATAAATTTATTACCCAATATTGGAAACTCTGACATGATGTCTGTCATTTGTTTAGTTTTTGTAAATTCATTATGTGATTCCAGCATGCACTTTTTTTAACTTATCTAGGTATGTTTTATAATACCATAGCTGGCATCTTTACATTATAATTTAATTAAAAATAAAGAAACATCCACTTTCAATTAAAATGCAGCAGATCATAGAAGACCAGCACAACCATTGCAACAACTTCAGAAAAGAACAAAGAATTAAGTCAGAATTCACATTGATCATGACACCAGAGAGCCATGGATGAAATCCAGAACACATAACCTGTAATTCTAGATAAGGCAATACTGTTGTAGGTGGGATAATACCCACCTCTCATTTTATTCTCCAGAGAAACTTGTCAAATTTGACTTTCCCTAGAGATTCCAGCTTAGCTGATGCAGGGGAACTCTACTGTAGAGGGTTCAGCTGATACTTGGCACATATATGAAAGCCACCTTCTGGATTAAACATCAGTTGAGCCTTTAACACATGATTTGGTTTCTCCTTGTGTCATTTGCTGCAGTTTGTGATAGAAAGGTCAGAAAGGAAGAGGGAAAACATTCAAATCCTTATGGAAGTCTCCTCTTATGATGCTGCATTGTCATTTTTGTGAGTCTGAGCCATGATCCCAGTCCTTGGGCTCCCTCCTCTCCACATATATATATATATATATATATAT